GCTGGAGATGGGCTTGAGCATCTCCTCGTCAACTGAGGCTGTCTGAGTCTCTCAGATCTATGTTTATATGTCAACGTCTGCATGCGTAACGCCGCCATGTTTTGTGCCAGACCCCATCATGATACTGCCGGGTGAGGAGAGCATTTACCATCAATCTATTTTTCTGCTGCGTTTTTAGCGACTGAAGTATATTGCCATTTTTACTTTTCATATTAGCACCTGTCTTCGCATGTCGGCTCGATACCCATTATATACATTCGTTACAAGACATCTACTGTAAAAGCACGTTCCAGATATAGAATGTTACTACTGAAGCGATTCGTTGATGGTTGTTTGTCGCATATCCTGCAATGTTGTCTTTCCATCACATCTGAATGACATTCATAAAATTGAATTATTGCTACCATTAGATCCATATCATAAACAAATTCGGAAAACTAATCCGTATCAAACTCGCGCCTAACTAGAAAGCAATGGTCGATGCCAGACCGTCCAATTCACGCTGATAATTCCTGTGTTGCGAGATCTGGTAGAAGAACTTGCCCACAAAGTCCGTCGCGCCCTTGAGAATCTGTACGCTTTCCTTGAAGCTCTCTGGCTTCTGCTTCCCGCCCGCAGTCACAACACCATACCACTCGACGGGCTCCGGGCTCTGCGACGACGCCACCTGGACGTCGAGCGTGCCGCCCAGCGTCTCCTTGACGAGATCCACGGCCTCGCCGGTGGCGCCCAGCGCCTTGAGATGGCCGAAGGTCTCGGAGATCCAGTACTTGATCTGCCCGTTCTGGCGCAGGGAGGCGACGTGCGGGCCGCCGGGGATGAAGGTTGCGTCGAACATGGTTGAGCGCTGGCCGTCGTAGTGGTGGTCCGGGATGATGCCCTTGGAGGAGGTCTTGTCCTCGCCGTCGGCGTAGATGGCGGAGCGCTTGGTGCCGATGATGAAGGGGAGGGCGCTGGCGGCCTTGATGGCGGTCTTCATGCCGGTGAAGGCGACTGGGTCGTAGCCGTCGCCGATGATGATGGCGATGCGGCGGCTGGCGATGGTGGGGTTCTTGGGGAGGAACTCGGTCTGGGAGAGGTGCGGGGCGCGGCGGCCGTGGTTCTGCTTGAGGGCCTTGGTTGGAATCGGGGCGCCGACCATCTCGGCGACTTTCTGGGCGAGCCCGAGGTCGATTTCGGCGAGGCGATGGCCGGCGAGCCGTTCGTAGACGGTGGGGTCGTCGCAGTGGTCGAGCTCGAAGCTGAAGGCCTTCTTCATGTGGAGCTTCTCGTGCTCGGACATGGAGTTGTAGAAGAGCTGGGCTTGGTTGTGGTGCTCGCGGAATTTGTCGCTGAGGGCGCGGTTCTTGATGCCCTCCACGCGCTGGGGGTAGGTTGTGAATCCGCCGCCCTGGGTGCCGGCTGGGGGCACGGCTTCGAAGCGGTTGGGCCAGTAGTTGACCGTGCCTTGCGTGATTCGGTGGCGCATCTGTCCGTCGCGGTTGTGGTTGAGCACAGGGCACACTGGACGGTTAATTGGCAGCTCTTCCCAATTGATGCCCAGGCGGCTGATCTGGGTGTCGAAGTAGGAGAAGTTTCGGCCTTGGAGAAGTGGATCGTCGGTGAAGTCGATGCCAGGGACGATATGGCTGGTGCAGAATGCGACCTGCTCGGTCTGAGGGAAGAATTCGTCGACGTTGCGGTTCAGCTCGAGCTCTCCAATCACACGAAGGGGCACAAGGTCTTCAGGCCAGATCTTGGTGGCATCCAAAATGTCAAACTCAAAGTCATCCTGCTTCTCCTCTGGAATGACTTGGATTGCGAAGTCCCATTTCGGATACGCCTTGTTGTCGATAGCCTCCATCAGGTCTTTGCGATGGAAATCTGGGTCTTGGCCTCCCAGCTTCAAGGCTTCGTCCCAGACGAGAGAGTGCACACCCAGATGGGGGATCCAGTGGAACTTGACAAAGTGTCGCTTCCCCTCTTTGTTGACGAGAGCAAAAGTGTTCACACCAAATCCCTGCATCATCCGGAAGGATCGGGGAATGGCGCGGTCAGACATGGCCCACATGAACATGTGGGTGGCTTCCGGGTGCAAGTACACAAAGTCCCAGAAGTTGTTGTGGGCTGTTTGGGCCTGAGGGACCTCGTTGTGAGGCTCCGGCTTGACAGCGTGGACTGATAGCACAGTCAGATCTGACGGAATAAGCAGCAGGAGCTATACGTACCAAAATCTGGGAACTTGACGGCATCTTGAATGAAAAACACAGGGATGTTGTTTCCAACAATGTCCCAGTTGCCTTCATCGGTGTAGAACTTGACAGCGAATCCACGAACATCGCGAACTGTATCAGCGCTACCTCTGCTTCCTTGGACAGTTGAAAAGCGAACAAAGACGGGCGTGTTTCTGGATGTATCCGTCAGGACACCGGCATAAGTCAGATCTTCAATGCTCTCCTTAAGCTTGAAGTTTCCGAATGCGCCAGTGCCACGCGCATGGACTACTCTTTCAGGAATACGTTCATGATCAAAGCGATGGATCTGCGAATATCATCAATAACATATTTATTGAGAGTATTTACATGCAATATGTTTACCTTTTCTCTGGCAATCTGATCCTCCAGCAAGGATGAGCCAGTCCGCCGGTCATTCGTAACTCTAAGCCATTGATCGGTGTTGCTGACTCGTACACCGTGATCCGTGGTCAGTGGCTGCTGGGTATGAGCATCGACAGTATCTCTTTCCAAGTCGACCAATTTCTTGCTTTTAGAGGATGTGTTTTGAAGCACTTCCTGCGCTCTGTGCAAGCCTCCAGCAATCTTTGTGGCCATGTTGATTCTCGGATTGATGCTCACGGTAATTTCAGATTTAAGTTAAAGCTCTGTGAAGAACCGACAGCGCCGACCTGACAAGAACATCTCTTTAACATCTCTGCTGGCTTCGATGGTGTGTAATAAATGCTCCTTGGTTTGTCCAGAGCTGTGACAGCACGTAAGTGTGACGTTGGCGGAACGTCAACGTCACCCTGGCACTGCCGGCCTCGGCTGGATCCAGCGATCATGATCATCCAGGCTGTCCAGTATCATGGAAAAACCGGAATTCGCATCCGGAGCATCTTCATGACTTCTCCAATTGAACCTTTCCGTTGAACCTGTTTTTCTTCAAGGATGGTATTCGTTCATGGAGAGCCAAGCTCTGTTGTTGCGGGCATATGAGTTCATGACTCTGTCCGATAACCAAGGAACTCACTCCACCCTATGTGGGTGGGCTGATGATCTGCAACGAGAATTCTCCAAGCCAGGAGAGTGTCCAATAAATTCATTGATATTACTTCGAAATCGACTGTTTCACTGTGATATTGGCATTGATGCTGCCGAAGTGTTGTTGTTGGCGGCTGTATGTCGTTCGGCCAGTTACGCAACACCGCCCCAGAAGCAGGGAAGCAAACGAATGTTGGGCGAATTGATGCTCTTAACAATCCATCGATCAATCAGAAGCCGTTTGCTTCTGAGATTGTTCGGCTGACGACTTCAAGGCAGAGGCACATTGTGTCAGGACGGCATTTGAAGGATCCATGAGGAATAGACACTTCGGCATCTGGCGCATAAAGTCTAGATGAAGCGGGTAAGTTTTTGGACATTAGCCTCTCCTGCTTCTCCCTTTTTGGCCGTGTTTCTCTTCTTACTACTGCTCCTTCTTCTCCTTCAAACTCTTTCCCGTTGAGATTCACACGAATGCTTTCCTCTCTTCAAACAACGGTCGCATCGACTATCACCCTCTCAGAGAGTATCGATAACTGGCCATCGAATGGATTTATCTGTTGCTGGGAAGACGGAGAAGCGGTGGACGCAGTTAAGGACCATTGCAGATAGGTCATATTCCCAAGGCCCAAGTCCATGAACTATCGGATCGACTATCAGATGGATTCCCACAATTATTGATCCGAATTGTCTCTGGAGCCAGCTCTGTAGATCTGTACGAGGCGAACTATCTATTCTGATCAGTCGGTTATGTTAATTCTGTGGGTCATCTGCTGGGGCTTCGTTTGAGTTCCGTAGATCGTCTGCGTCCACATCGAAATATGACAGGTGGGAAACGACTTCATCTTGTGAATGCGGGGACAATAGTCATAGGCCAGCTTTCAATCGAAGGGAGCCACAGGCAGGAGCATGTTCATGCGGTGAGGAAAAATGGCGTGGCCGAGGAGACGTATTCCTGGCATTGGGGTGCTTGTAGAAAGTTCGACGCAAGGGAGCAATCGGTTTATCGTCGTATAGAGCCAGGGATGAACTTCTTTGACAGAAAAGGAATCAGGATCAAGAAGAATGTGTTTCTGATTGGCTGTTGAAGATATCCTGCCCCCCTGATTGTGGATGTTCGGTCAATTCTAAGAGAAAAGAGACGCGAAGACCGCGACTCTTTACACACGACATTTCTGTACGGAGTAGAGTATACATCCAACGGGATTGCCCGAAACAACAAACCCTGCAGACGCCAACCACCCTCTGAACTGTCAATTGATTGGCCTTTTCATCGGATTACAGAGCCTATTCGGCTTCGATCCTTCACAAACGACTTTCAAAATCCCAAGGAAGCGTCCCGCTAGGATCATGCGAGGGATAACAAGCACTGACGCTGCGAACTCCTCCCTTTTGAAACCAGAAAGTATGCGGCCCGTTTACCTCTCTCATCCCCATGGAGAACCGATTTCATCAAGATGACCCGCAGGGCACACGCACCTGGACCATGACCTGCCGATTATTGAAAATGATGCCTCACCCGGCTCATTGATGCATTCTGATGCGGGTTCTTTCTTTCTTTGATCTTCGTCCAGATTGCATGTGGGTTTCTGTCATTGACATCTGCGTTGCTTGTACCTCTGCCTTTGTCCTCTTTTCATCCTATCTGAAGCTTGATTATGGATTACGGTCATTATACAAGTCCGATGGTAGAACGGTAAGAACATTCTCAGGGTCTGCATTGCTCCCCGATTAGGATATCCCACTGAGAACTCATATTTGATGGCTAGAGATGGCGTTGACAGCCGCAGTCCGCTGCAGGCAGAGGCGAAGCGGAACTTTGAGAACCAAATCGTCCTAAGCCCTTCTTCTCACAATGCCTCTGTTGCACTTGGAGCGCGGACACGGGTTCTTCGAGCGTCGGACGTCTTACTGTCGTTAGCTGGCAAGACAGAGAATGGTTCGTCGAATTCCGCTCCTGTGTATGATCTGTCACTTGATAAATCTAACGTATTGCGACGCGAATCTATAGAAACCGTCGAAGATTCTCCAGGCGTTGAAAGTTTTGCAGAAACTGTACGTCTGTTCCCGCCTCTCAGAAATGACGATGGGGGCCCCAATGGTGCTGCGGATTCCAAATGCCCGGATTGCGATGCTGTCTTCTCCTCACCGTACGGCCACTGATTTGTCCTGCTTCTTCAATGCATAATTTAACGATAAATACAGGTGCGAATTGAAACAACACTACTTGACGAGATTCTGTCCTGGGGCAGCTGTGGCAATCTATTTGATGATGCGAGATCGGTATGTTTGACTTCAGGGTACCGTTGATGCAGGCTGAGTGGTCTTTTATAGTCTTATCACCAAGGGCTACCGGATGGAAAAGCGGTTTTTGCCTCTGAATTCCCGTCCGCTCCGATTTTTCTGCGAGCATTGCGAGAAGCAATTTACCATGGGTGACAAGGATGAAATAGTGGATCGACAACGAGGTGAGACGGTCACCCGTAATTGCCTATGAACATCCTCTCATATGACTTGCAGACATGCCATCATTCATCAGTTGCAAAAACTGCGGGGAGGAGTGTAACATCTCGTCAGTGCCAGTCTGATACTGATCTATTTGTCGTCCAGCAAGTCTTACATGGCTAATCTAGATATGAGCCTGTTCTGAATGACCCTAGAGACGATATCAGTCTTCGAGATATTCAAAAGGACAGGGTGAATGGAGCGCACAGCAGAAGCCCAAGCATTGCGCAGATGAACCTTACCGGCTCTAAATTCCATATTGCAACTAATACCGCCGGGGAGCAATCGTTTGCTCAGAGGGCCAGAAAGTTGCGGGATTCCTGGTCATTTAGAAGTAAGCTCCATAATTCCCCTGATGAGAGACATGTCTAATTCCCGACAGAAATCTCGCAAAGTGATGAAGATGAGCTCATCGCAGTTAGTTTTGCTGGACTGTATGACCTGGAGAGAGGTAGGCCAACCCTGTTTTCTGACGCGCCGTGTTTAACGTGTGATGCAGTGCATGCCCCCAATGGTATTTTCCAACAGTTCGGAGGTGCTGCCGAATGGCAGTCCACCCAGTCACAGAGGGACTGTCCATATGAAAGTATGCTCGGCCTTGTCTCTATAAGAATAAAAGTGCATGAGAATGAACGGCTGATAATTACTGCCAGCGCCGAATGATGTCCATATCATTGGCTCAAAGATATCGGGCATGGCCTTTTGTGAGGAGGAAAACGAGCATTATAGAAGCGATTATGTTGATTCGCAGGGAAACCTGGTTGGGAATCAAACACAAGGGACACTACCATCGCCATCCCGAAGGCAATCTTTTCTGCAAAGGATATTTGGTCGTACCATTCCGAAAGGTTTGCTTGATGAATATAATGCTGGCTAAAACCCCACTGACGGAGAACAGGTCTGTCACGCGCAAAATCTGCCTCTAATCGAGGGAGAAAGTTGCTGAAAAGAGTCAACACCGTGAGGCTCTCTTTCACGCAAAGGGGCTCCAAGAACGAAAGTGATACAAGCTTAGAAAGCGAAGGGAGCTCAAGTGACGTGAAAACCGCAGCCAAGACACAACGCAAAGCAGATGGAATCCGAACAGCTGTTTCCGAAGCCGAGTACATGACTTTGTTACGAAACTGTCAGAACATTTTCATTCATATTCAACACCTCTCGGGAGGCGCAATGGTTCATGATGCCTCTGGACGTCAAAGACTGCTTCAGATGGATGAGGTAGCTCAGCTCTTTCTCCAGCTGAAGAATGAGCTCTCCGCCTCGACAGTCTATTCCAAAGCCCTGATAACACGTATGCGGGCTGATGCAGCCCTCAAGCAGGGCAATTCGAAAGCAGCGGTTGTGGAGTTTCATGATGCACTGCGGACTCTGGAGAGTGAGCCAGCATTGGACACCGAGAGATTGTCTCGCGCGTCCATTTTACATTCGATGGGACATGCATACCGCAGTCTGGACATGGCTGCAGAATCGGAAGCCTGCTACTTGGAGGCACTGGGGCTCTACAAACGATCCTTTGGGCGCGACCACCCTACGAACTTTGCAGTTCTGCACGATCTAGGCGCGCTTTGTGAGAAGGACGGATACGCCACCGAAGCAGCTGCACTATATGAGCGCTCGTTCGCAGGCAGGTTGAAGACTCTGGGACAGCACGCACCGGAAACGTTGAGTAGCATGCAAGATCTCGCGTCTCTCAAGGTCTCCTTAGGTGATCTAGAATCTGCGCTCCTCTTATTGGAGAGGGCGGTTCCTGCTCTCGACACGGTTTTTGGACTCCAGAACGAAACGACCCTGAATGCAATGAACAAGCTATCTCTTCTATATCAGAAGCTCGGTTTAGTCAAGGAGTCTCGTATGATATGCGGCAAGACCATCCCACATTGCAAGACGATCTTCGGTGTAGCGAGTGCTATCACGAGAGATGCTGTTGTCCGGTACATCCAAGGCTCTGACAATTTTGACTTTCCCCCAGAAATCTTGGACGTACTCGACCAATACCGCAACTCCAGCGACCCCGAGGCCCTTCGGGTTATCCATCGATTAGGCCGATCGTACATGGATGCAGGACTGAACCGAGACGCCGCTGATCTCTTCGAGACCTTGTTCGAGGACCTCCTGGTCGTAAGAGGACCAGAGGCTCCTGAGACGTTCGATGCTCTCAGTGCGCTCTGCGTGTCACGCGAGCACCTCGACTCCGTGGATAAAGCCATCCTCGCCTATCACCAACTCATTCAAATGGCAAGTGCCACGCCCGACGAGCACCATTCGCGGAAACGGATCGGCTATGCACAGAAGAGAATCGTGGAGCTCAACCGCCGGCGAGAGGTTCTGGCTACTGAGAGAAAAGAATGGGGATTGCACGAGCCCGGGAAATGTGAGAACTGCGTAACACCCACCAAAATCCTCTGCAACTGTGAGTCCTCTTCCTGACAATCTTTCCTCCGATTCAACGCACAAGCTGACCAGCCTCCCAGCATGCAAAATCTTCCGTTTCTGCAGCGAACCATGCCACAAAGCCAGCCTGCAAAAACACCTCCCCTACTGCATCCCCTCCGTGTCCCTCCGCGAGTCCAAATCCCTCGCCGTCAAACCACGCTGCCCACCCTGGGTCCGAGACCAGGCTCTCTCAAAAATCCGCCCTCTCGATAGGGACAGGACTGTAGACGTACTCGCCAGCTATACCTTCTACTTTGACCCGCGCAACTTCACCACCTTCCGGATGAAGCTCAGCTCCCTCACAAACACCGTCATCATCTTCTCTCTAGACTCAGACATCCAGTTCGCAACCATCGACAGCAGCTCGTCACCGTCATCATCATCCGGACCCGGCAACACAAGCTCTTCACCCCCAACAACCGCCAGCACCACCCCCCGAGAAATCCAATGGCTAACCCCCCAGCGCCAAGAAGCCATCTTCTACATCTCTCCAGAGTCCCCCAACACACCCGCAAAGTACGTCCTCGTCAGCCCAGGCAAGGAAATGTTCAAATCAGCCATCCAGAAGCGAATCAGCGTGCGCGGCTCGAACGGTGAAAAGGAGCATTTTCGGTCTCTATCGTTGCCGGATAGTGAGCTGATCGAGTATGCTCAGGGCTTGCTTCTGTCGGGGTACCTGGAGGAAGCGTTCATGTACGTCATTGAGTGGGAGTGGAAGTGAGGAATATGAATACACGAACGAACCTTTTTCTTTTCCTTTGTTTCTAGGAGTTGTCGAGAATACGAAGTTGGTAAAAAGAATACATTCTATGAGTAGACATATGTTGTACCAGCGAGCCGCCTGACATCGCATCATCCTTGTGATTGAATTTTACAGGAATGAACGCCCCTGCGTAGATGTCTCGATTAATCTCATGCAGATATCTAAGCCCACCTACAGGAACAAGACGTGCCAATGATATGAGAGTTTAGATGTCCCACCCAGAGGGAACCACAAATCTATCGTCGCTGTCACCAATATATACATATGAACAAGCGCTCGCACAACAGATGCGAGGCGATCTAACGGAAAAGGAATAATAACAGAAAACACCGGACTCGAGGCTTAGAGTCACTATATACATCATCATCAATTCGTAACGACCGGGTGATACCCGACCTGAGGTTGTCCGGGGCGCATTCACGGAGTTGAGGGATGCTCATCATCCGACTTATAATTATCGTCGTCGTCGCTTTCCCAATCCTGCGCCTCTAGAGAGCGACCCTTGATGCCGAAACTCAAGACAAACCCGACAAAAGAAACGGCAGCAAAGACACCAAAAGCCAGCAGTTCTCCCTTTGGTTGAATGCGGGAGGCCAGGGAGAAAAGGCCGCCAGATAGGAACGGACCGGCTGCTCGACCAGCCGCGGCGAGGGTTTGCGCAAGACCATTGAGTGCTCCCAGGACTGCGTGATCCGGAGCAGAGTTCGTAATCTGGACGACAAAGTTAGCGAATTCTCAAATCTCAGTCAGTAAGAGGATAATCTTACCAGTAAAAGTGCACTAGTCAAACCGCCAACTGCAGCAACCGTCTTAACCAAGAGCACGAAGCACAATTCAATAGCCATCAAAGCAGTCTTCTTGGTCAGTCGACCGTCAGCATCGTCTCCTTTGTATCCGACGAAAGGCATGAGCATGAACGACAGGACGAAGCCGAAGAGGCCTGCCCGATATGACCACCGGTTGCCCATCCTATCTCGCAGTCTGCCGAAGATGCAGACTTGGAAGAGGATAGTGGCCAGGCCGGCAAAACCTTGCGAGAGACCAATTTCGCTCGGGGTAAGGGCTCGTCCCGTAGGAGGTGGAGCATGCGAAAAGATAGGGAAAAGCGAGTTGAAAGACACATTGCCCAGGGCGAAGATGAGATACGTCAGCAGAAGCAAAACAGTGTCCCGATTCCAGATCTCGCTTTTGAGCAGGGACTCATGTGTGACGCCTTGATGACTGGACACTTCCGAGGCGGAGTCAAGTTCGCTATCATGATCTTGCTCAGATGCATGCTGTTGCACGGAATGATATTCATGGGGAAGGTATGCCTGTCTTGCCCGCCGTGCAGGACTGGTCCACTCCCACAACCAGACAAACATAGCACGAATTCTGCGTTTCAATGTAGGAAAAACTTCCGCATCCTCGAGGCTCTCTTCGAGGAAAAGGCTCGTCAAAATGAAGTCCACCATAAGAATTCCCGCACACACGAGGTTCGGCCCGGCATAAGGATATGGATTGGGTTTGTTCTTGTCCAAAGGATTTCGGGGGAAGACTAGTAAGCCGCCAATAAGAGGTCCGGTGATACCTCCAATACCGTAGAGGACAGGCAGATAAGTGAAAGCTTTCGACTGGTTGCTTCTGTCGGTAATCTCTCCCAGGCACGTTGACACCAATCCCTGGTTGCCATTGACAGCGCCCATCAACGCCTGCACCAGGATGGCCTGCCATAACGTCTTACAGAATCCAAACGCTAGCATGCAAACTGCAGTAAGGATGGTCCCAAGCAATATGACCGGCTTCCGTCCCACGCGATCAGACAGCCAACCCCAGAAGTAGTTGGTTATGAATTGCGCTATCGCAAACGCCGAGGCGATCGTTCCGACATAGATACCCACCGACTGCGATTCGACTCCGGGAAACGACGCCGCCATATCAGGCAGATAAGGGCTAATCGAATTGAGTGCCGTCTGCTCACAGAGCGCGATCATCGCCAACACTGCCATCTGCTTCTTCGGCAAGGGAGATCGTGGTTCGTCGTCGCTTCCGGATCCATGTTGTTGCAGATTCGAGTCGCCGCCTGACGATTCGGATTGGCCTGAGTTCGGTCTTCCACGCGATTTTGGAGGAGGAGTGTCGAAGGTTTGATAGTGCTGCGTGGTCGAGTGCCGCCTATTCAGCGAGTTCTGTTCAG